TGTGGCCTTCACTAGAGTCACCAGTGACCTCTATGTCACTAAATCCAGTGAATACTTTTAGTTTGTCCTCTGGCAATATGTGACATTATCAGTGACACCAAAATTGAAAGCCTCTAGACATCTAAGACACAATAACTTGCTTTATGTCTTTATGCCATTCCTCCTCAATGCTGTTGTGGGCTTCTCTACCAATATGTAGTCTGTACATATTGATGTGCTTCCACATTCAACCCTACGCATTCTTCTTATGTCACAATACTCTTGTACTATTTCATCTTCTGTAGCTTCAGTTAGCAGCTATCAGTCAGTCACCTCTATATTTGTTTCTATCTCCTAGTTTCAGACCTTTACTAACTTGCCATTTCCCCCAGGTGGACTTAACAAAATTTAAACCATGTCATCCCTAAATTTGCTCTTCCTTGTGCATCCCCTTCTCATTCATAATGCTGCCACCCATCCTCTTGCCCCAACCAGAACCCCTAGCACTGTTTTTGACTTCAATCTCTCCCTCAACACCCAGATTCAATTATCACCAAGAATAGAGTCAATCTCCCAAATATTTCTTGGAGATGTGTTCTCTATCTTTACTGCCCAGGTCCTGAGTCCTAAGCTGCCATTATCTCCCCTGTTGCATTTTTCAAAAGCCTTCTACTGAGCTCTCCACATGAGCTCTTACATCCTACAATCCATTCTCCACTCAGCAGTTCCAGGAGTCTTTCTAAAGTACAAATAGTATCACAAAACCCCTCTGCAGTAGACAGAATTTCTATATAGGAATTTCTCAAAGATTGGAGGGGGAAAGATAGGTACCTAAGTTAGCACTGTGTAATACAAAATGATGCCATAGATCAATGAAAACAGTTGTCTAAGGTTGCTTTTACTTACACTTCATGTAATATTGATCAATTTGCACATCAGCCATTTTATTTTTTATTTTTTGAGACAGGGTCTCACTCTATTGCCTGGGCTAGAGTGCAGTGGCATCATCGTAGCTCATTGCAGCCTCCAGCTCCTGGCTCAAGCAATCTTGCCTCACCTTCCCAAGTGGCTGGGACTACAGGTGTGTGGCATGCCTGGTTAATTTTTTTAAAAAGTTTCTGTAGAGACCAGTCTTGTATTGCCCAGGCTGGTCTTGAGCTCCTGGCCTGAAGCAATCCTCCCATGTCTGCCTCCCAAAGTGCTGGGATTAAGCCTTTTCTTAAACATAACTAAATTTAGGGATTTTAGATTTGTTTCCATCCATTGGTGCTGTTTTCTTTGCTTAAAGACCTTGTAGTAAACAATTATACCCCAGTAGAGCTGTTTAAAAAACAACTTAGTCAAAGATAGGAACCTTTTCCTAATTTGGTATCAGAAAATATAAATCTTGGCCGGGCATGGTGGCTCACGCCTATAATCCTAGCACTCTGGGGGGCAAGGCGGGCGGATCGCTCAAGGTCAGGAGTTTGAAACCAGCCTGATTGAGAGCGAAACCCCGTCTCTACTATAAATAGAAAGAAATTAATTTTCCAACTATATATATAGAAAAAATTAGCCGGGCATAGGTGGTGCATGCCTATAGTCCCAGCTACTTGGGAGGCTGAGGCAGAAGGATCGCTTGAGCCCAGGAGTTTGAGGTTGCTGTGAGCCAGGCTGATGTCACGGCACTCACTCTAGCCTGGGCAACAAAGTGAGACTCTGTCTCAAAAAAAAAAAAAAAAGAAAATATAAATCTTAAGATAAAGTTCATAAATGCATAATGGTCAGGTCCCTGCCTACCTCTATAGCCCCACTGTAGGCTTCTTTCCCCTTAAGGCTTCTCTCTCCCCTCTAATCATGCTTAAACTACACTCTCTTTCTGCCCTTTCAAGGAAAAATATCTTTCCCTTGGGCTTCAGGGCCTCAACGCAGGGACCTTACTCTGCTTAAAACATTTCCCCTACTTTACTTAGCTAACATGTACTGAAACTTCAGATTTCAGTGGAAATATTGCCTCAGCCTAGATTAAATCTGCTTACTGCAGGCATACCTCGGAGATATTGTGGGTTTGGTTACAGGTAACCACAATAAGCAAATATCACAAAGTGAGCTGGGAATTTTTTGGTTTCCCAATGCATGTAAAAGTTATTTTTATACTGTACTGTATTCTATTAAGTGTGCAATAGCATTATGTCTTTTTTAAAAAGTACAGACCTTAATTTAAAAATACTTTATTGCTTAAAAAAAAAGTCAGTCTTTTTTACTGGTGAAGGGATTTGCTGTGTTGATTGTGCTGACTGATCAGGATGTTGGTTACTGAAGGTTGGGGTGACTGTGGCAGTTTCTTAAAATAAGACAAGTCTTCCACATCAACTAACTCTTCCTTTCACAAGGGATTTCTCGGTACCATGTGATGCTGTTTGATAGCATTTTACCCACAGTGGAACTTCTTCCAAAATTGGAGTCCATCCTCTTAAATCCTGCTGCTACTTTATCAATGAAATTTATGTAATATGCTAAATCTCTGTTGTCATTTCAACAATGTTTACAGCATTTTCACTAGGAGTAGATTCCATCTCAAGAAAACACTTTCATTGATTGCCCAAACTTAAGGAGCAACTCCTCATCCATTCACATTTTATCATGAGATTGCAGCAATTCAGGCACCTCTTCAGGCTCCACTTCTAATTCTAGTTCTCTTGCTGTTTCCACCATATTTGTAGTTACTTCCTCCACTGAAGGCTTGAGCCCCTAAAAGTCATCCATGAAAGTTAGAGTCAACTTCTTCCAAATTCCTGTTAATGTTGATATTTTGACCTCCTGTTATGAATCACAGATGTTCTTACTGGCATCCAGAATGGTGAATCCTGTCCAGAAGGTTTTCAATTTACTTTTCCCAGATCCATCACAGGAATCACTATCTATAGCAGCTATAACCTTACAAAGTGTATTTCTTAAATTCTAAGACTTAAAAGTCAAAATTATTCCCTGACCTGTACACTGCAGAATGGCTGTTGTGTTCAGAAGCCTGAAAACAACATTCATTTCCTGTACATTTCCATCAAAGCTTTCAGGTGTCCAGGTACATTGTCAATGAGCAGTAATATTTTAAAAGGAATCTTTTTCTGAGCAGTAGGTCTCAACAGTGGGCTTAAAATATTGAGTAAACCATGCCATAAACAGACGTGCTATCATTCAGGCTTTTCTAGATGACATTTGGCCATTTCTAGAGCACAGGCAGAGTCAATTTAGCATAATTTTTAAGGGCCCTAGGATTTTCAGAATAGTAAATAAGCATTGGCTTCAACTTAAAAGTCACCAGCTACATTAGCCCCTAACAAGAGAGTCAGCTTGTCCTTTGAAGTTTTGAAGCTAGGCATTCACTTCTCATTTTTAGTTATGAAAGTCCTAGATGCATCTTTCCATGGAAGGCTGTTTCATTTATGGTGAAAATCTGTTTAGTGTAGCCACCTTCATCAGTGATCTTAACTAGATCTTCTGGATAACTTGCTACAGCTTCTCCATCAGCACTTACTGATTCATCGTGCACTTTTATGTTTTGGAGAGGGCTTCTTTCCTTAAACCTCAGGAACCAACCTCTGCCAGCTTCCAACTTTTCTTCTGCAGCTTCCTCACCTCTCTCAGCTTTCATAGAATTGAAGAGAGTTAGGGCCTTGCTCTGGACTAGGTTTTGACCTAAGGGAACGTTGTGGCTGGTTTGATCTAGCCAGACTTTTCTCCAGATCAGCAGTAAGACTGTTTTGCTTTCTTACCATGCCTGTGTTCACTGGAGTAACACTTTTAATTTCCTTCAAGGACTTTTACTTTGCATTCACATCTTAGCTGTTTGGCACAAGAGGCCTGAATTTCAGTCTATTTCAACATGCCTTCCTCCATAGGCTTATTCATTTCTAGCTTTTGATTTAAAGCGAGAGACATGTGACTCTTCCTTTCAACTGAACACTTAGAGGCCATTGGTCTCTTGGTAAAGTTGATTGGTAAAGTTGGTCTAATTTGAATATTGTTGGGTCTCAGGTAATATGGAAGTACTAAAAGAGGGGAGAAGATGGGAATTGCCAGTCAGTGGAGCAGACACACACAATGTTTATCAATTCAGTTCACCCTGTTATATAAGTGTGGTTTGTGGTGTCCCAAAACAATTACAATAGTAACATCAAAAATCACTTATCACAGATCACCACAACAGATATAATAATGAAAAAGTTTAAAGCATTGTGAGAATTACCAAAACGTAATACAGAGACATGAAGCGAGCACATGCTATTGGAAAAATGGCACTGTGATAGACTTGCTCCAAACCAGGTTGCTACAGACCTTCATTTGTAGTAAGCACTGTCTCTGCAAAGCACAATTATGCAAAGCACAATAAAATGAGGTATGCCTGTGTATGCTCTCACAAACCTCCGTATTTTATCTTGGGAACACTTACCACAGCTGTGATCAAATGCTTAGTCTTTTAATCTTTATCCCCCATCATCACCCCTAAGGAACTGGGCCTCCTTCCTTGCTTTATCCGCACCATGCCTAGCACAGACTCGACTCTCCATAAATACGTATTTAGTGGCAATAAATATAGCAGACATGTTTACTTGCCATTTTAGAAAAAATAGTGCAGATACAGAGTTAGAAACCCAGTTTCTGTTACCAAATTAGGAAAAAAAGAGGTGTCCATCTTTGGCCAAGTTTTTTAACAATTTTATGGAGGTATAATTGTTGTTTAGATCTTTTAAGTAATTATCACTCCACCAAAATCCACCCTGTGGTTAGTTCTTTGCTGGACCACTCAAGAGGTCAGTCCTCACCAGCCTTTATTATTATACAATCAGGTCGTACTTCCGTGAGATACCGGAAATAAAGACCAAAGAGCGGGCGGCGGACCTGATTCCCAACTGGGAACCACACCACCTACCTTCCTTTCCCCTCCGCTTCCTGTCCCGCCCTTCGCAGGGAGCGCAGTGGGGCGTGGCCCCCGGAGCGGAGGGGCGGGACTTCCGGCCTGCCTGGTTCTGGAGAGGTAAAGTGGCTTCCGGGGGCGGGGGCAGTTTGAATCGCGGCTGAGCTGCCTTTGCTTTCTCTTCGTGGTTGCTGTTGGTGGTGTCTTTGTTCTCCTGCTACTTTACCTTGGCAGGTGAGTCGGCCAAAAGCCTCTTCCTGTGACCTTTTTCCTCTGCGGTTGTGATTATTTTCTATTCTCAAGAAACACCACTTGTTGGTAATTTGTCAAATTCAGGAAACATCCCCGGAGAAGCAGTCGCGGGCAACCACAGACGCAGCATTTTGGCCAGTTAAAACCCGGGGCCGTTGGTTGGCTTTCTTTCCACCACTTTTCAGCTTCGAACCGCTCTGTGAGTGTAATACGTTTGGTTGTTTTGATGAGACTTTTTCTGTACCTAGATACTATCACATTTTCAAAAACGAGGCTCTCGTTGATGTCAAGAACAGACTTGTGGCTTTTTGATGGTTAAACATAGTCATATAATGTGCTGGGTGGTGAGAACACAAACAGGAATAAGACTTTAGCAATGAGGCTGAAAATGTGGGTTGGAGCCGGATTATGGTTTCCTGTGATATGCCAGGAACTTTAAACATTACACTGTTTCTTTTATATTCTTGATTATTTAAATAATGTTTAAAAAAATTATAGCTCAATAAAACATATGTCTTTCAACTATGTATCATCACCTGTTTTTTTTTCCTGAAATGCGAAGTAGACATAATCTGATATACATATTGCTGTAACATAAATGTATTGCCATCTAACAAGTATGAAAACAAGTGATGTAAAGCATTTGATATGATCTGACTTGTAGAAAGTTACGTGTAACAACAATACTAGGGATGGATTGGAGAGAGAAGAAATTGTAAAAAGGTCCCAAAAGTTGCAGGAGTTGAGGGCAGAGTTGATGACCTGAAATAGAAAAGGAGGAAAAGAGAGCCAGGTTCAAGAGAGAGACTTAGGAAATCAAAAGGACTTGGTACAGGTTTATGGAGGAAATCAAAGTGATAAGTCAAATATTGCTAATATTGGCTAACACTGAGATGCCATTAACTTAAATTGCAAATTCAAGAGGAGCAAGAATTTTAAAATTCAGTTATTCTTTCATCGGACAATGACTATTAGCACCCTAATTATTTGTCCAGTACTGTTTTAGATGCCAGAGATATAAATGTGAATAAAACATAAGGTCTCTGCTTTGGTTGAGTTTATATCCTAGTGGGAGAAGACAAAAGTAAATACAATGGTAATGTGTTTTGCTTATGTTCTAAGAAAATGCATCCATTTATTTTGATAGAATTTTTATACATAAGAATACTATTTGTGCTATTGTGTTTCCTAGTTTGTTCAGTCTTTGACTTGGAAGGATATCTTATCCTGTCTTCATAATGCCAGCTGAAGTGCGAATGGTACTTTATGAAGATGACTCAGTGCAAGTACAATATGCTGATGGTTCCAAATTGCAACTTTCTCCCTGTGGCTCTGAATTTTTATTTGAAAAGTCACCTCCTGTTTCAGCCCATCCTTTAGAACAACCAGAAAGAATTCGCCAAAGGACACACTTTGTTATTAGCACTTACCGAGTAAGTAAAGATGTCACAAAAACTACTGTCTTTAATTCCAAAATATTGTCAAGGTGGGCTGGAATATGAAAAGTGATTAGTATTGTGGGTTACACTGTACTGTCATTTTACATTGATTTTTTCAAATTGTTTTACATTTTATATTTCTGTTTATAGGAACAACTACAGCGAGCTCTAGATTTTCGAAACTCTTCGGCTATTCGCCCTTTTTTATCTGAAAACATCATACCTTCTGAAAGAAAAAAGGTGATTTTGTTAAAACTTCATTTTTATAAGTAATATTGGAGGACAAGTAATTACAAACAGGTAGTTTAATGTTTAGTCTTTTTTCCCCCAGGACATTTGAGAATAAACACATTGCTACAGAATGGATAAGCCTGTATATTCATCAGACTGAAGAACATAGAAGTTACATAGTTCATCTCCCTGCCATTTTCCTTATAGTCAAGAATTATAATCAGAATTTTTCAAATTGGTTACTTTTCAGTCTCAGAGGTCTCAAAATTAAGAAGTTATGTGGACAGGCTCATGCCTATAATCCTAGCACTCTGGGAGGCCGAGGCCAGCGGATTGCTGGAGGTCAGGAGTTCGAAACCAGCCTGAGCAAGAGTGAGACCCCGTCTCTACTATAAATAGAAAGAAATTAATTGGCCAACTAATATATATAGAAAAAATTAGCTGGGCATGGTGGCACATGCCTGTTCCAGCTACTCAGGAGGCTGAGGCAGCAGGATTGCTTAAGCCCAGGAGTTTGAGGTTACTGTAAGCTAGGCTGACACCATGGCACTCACTCTAGCCTGGGCAACAAATTGAGACTCTGTCTCAAAAAAAAAAAGTTATGTGGCCCTTTTTAGTAACCTACATGTAGTTAATTTGTTAATGTGTAGTAGAGATGTGTAATTACATATGGGTGTAAAAATTCTTTTGCTTATATTTTATTTTGGACTTTTAAGAATAATAACTCATTTATCAAGAGTTTACTATATCCAAGAACCAGGAATAATATTAGAAACATTTAATAACACCAGTGTGGCATGGGTAACTACTGATCAAAATGGATGTCCAACCAATCAGAACAGGTATATTGACTAGATATCAGCTCCTTTTTATAGGTAGTAAAACTATGTCTTAGAGAGTTTACCTAATTTATCTATGGAAGTTTTCTTAGAGTCAAAGTCAGGATTTGAACCCAGTCTGTCTGATTCTGAAGACTGTCATTTAAATACTTTTTGATACCTTCCTATGCTGTCAATGATGCTTGCCTGCCTACTGAGTAATTTTCTATTATCTTACGGGAAAGGAGCCATAAAAAGTTATAAGCTATAACTTAGCTTAGAAGGCTCTTTTTCCATTGTTTCTTTTGCGTAACTTTGTTCATTGAAACTGCATAGCTTACTGCTGATGCTGCAGTAGCATTATTTGACAGTCCAATTTTAGAAGAGAGAACTTTCTTAACTGACCATCCTTACAAACCAGTTTTGCCATTAATTAATACTACCCTTAATTTTAACATCCTGACGTTTGTACATATAGGTAGTACTATAAATTTAATAAATTTAAGAGGTCTTCTTGACAATATTTTTTGTAAATTTAAGGTTTTACATAAATGGAAGTTGAAATGTTAAACTCTTGGCAAAATTGATTGATTAAAAGACTATTAATAACAGCAGTACCTACTATTTATATTTTATATGAAAAGACACAACCGACAGTGTTACTTGCTATGAGTCTGTTATTGGTCAGGACTAATTTTCCTTTTAGTAATTCAGCTTTGTAAAATGTTACTCTTTAAGCCACCTAGAATTTATTTTAGTGTATGGAGTGCCAGGGACTGTCTAGGATAGGTACTTTATACATGCTATCTTATTTAGTCCATGTGATAACCCTCTGAGATAGCATTTCCCAAATGCTGTTCAATAATTGTAGTACTATCTATTAAATCATTCTCTCTTGTGCCTCTTACTTGCAAAATCTTATGTTATCACGTATAACATTTTAAGATACGTTGACTCTGTTTTTGTATTTTCTGAGTGGTTCTGTCAATGAGTTTTATACTAGTCCCATACTATTTAAGCTATGACTGCTTTTTTTAAAAAGATAAATTTATTTATTTAATTTTTATTTTTTTAGCTGTGATTGCTTTTTTTTTTTTTTTTTTTTGAGACAGAGTCTCACTTGTTGACCAGGCTAGAGTGAGTGCCATGGCGCCAGCCTAGCTCATAGCAACCTCAAACTCCTGGGCTCAAGCAGTCCTCCTGCCTCAGCCTCCCGAGTAGCTGGGACTACAGACATGCGCCACCATGCCCGGCTAATTTTCTATATATATTAATTGGCCAATTAATTTCTTTGTATTTATAGTAGAGACGGGGTCTTGCTCTTGCTCAGGCTGGTTTCGAACTCCTGACCTCGAGCAATCCGCCTGCCTCAGCCTCCCAGAGTGCTAGGATTACAGGTGTGAGCCACCGCGCCCGGCTTGATTGCTTTTAATATAGCATATCATAGGGCTGCTTCATCCTCACTTCTGTTCTTTTTCAGAGTAGGTTTCTGGGGTAGGGGAGTGCAAATTTATTTATCTCTGATTCAGTATATTTTAAACCAGAATATGTTTAACACTAAATATAATCAAGGTATTTCTTTTTCTTCTTTTCTGTATTTTGTGTGTGTATGTGCATGTATGTGTGTGTTTTATGTCTCTTATAAGACATAATATCAAATATAATCTGGAAAACCATATATAGGCTGACATCTGGCTTTCCATTTATCATTCTCTCTAGGTAGTGAAAATACAAATACTTAAGAGCTTTCTTACACAATATTTAAGTATCAAATGTATGGAAAAATTGGACTATTAACAGAAAATACCATCTTTTTTCCCCCTTCAATTTAGCATATATTCATTGACATCTCAGAAGTGAGATGGCCCAGTCTTGATGCAGATGATAGCATGATATGTCTGGAAAGTGGCACCGTGAAGATAACATCTTTAGATGGTCATGCATACCTTTGCCTGCCAAGATCTCAGCATGAATTTACAGTGCATTTTTTGTGTAAAGTTAGCCAGAAGCCAGAGTTATCTGTAGTATTGTCAGCCCAAAAAGACAAACTAGTTGAAAAAACTGGCAAAACCTATACATTTGGAAATTTATCAAGACAGAGACTGAAGAATAAAGAAAATGAACTCTATTGCCACATCATGAAATCCAAAGAACCTTTAAAGAGGATGAGTTATGTAAATGGAACTGAAGGGAAGGAAAAGCTGCCTTCACCTGGTACAAAATACACATGTGTATATACATGGATAAAGCAACACTGGTCTGTGGCAGCCTGTCCAGAGGAATGGAAATATCCTTTGTCTTTAGCTCTTCGTTTTCATACTAAAGTTAGCAATATGTCTAAAATTGATGCACATATCACCCAGAGTAGAATTTTAACTTCTGTTTCAGAGGAAAGAGGAAAAGAGGTTTCTGTTCTTCCTAGGGCCTTGTCACTCAGCTGTCCTGTCCCGCACCTGCACAGGTAATAGAAGAATGTCTTTTGTTCATAAAGCTTTTGTCATAAACTCTTCTTTAAGAATAATGGGAAAGTTCATTTAGTTGATCCAAAACTTTGTTTTTAGCTGATAGTAAGTAATTTTCCTAGCAAATGTGTTGCTTATGTTTCCTACTCTGTGTCCGTACATTCCATGTTCATGGAAGGCTGACTCTATACGAAATACTTTGTTCAGCCCAGTGACTATAGAAATGACTAAGAAACAGTCCCTGCTTTCTGGTAACTTAGAGTCTAGTGAAGGTCA